AATCTCTTGGGACATAGTTTTGTAATGGAGTCCGCTGTCAAACAAAAATTACAACATATATGAACAATTGAATTTGAAGAAGACCAAACACGGTGGCATGAAAGGAACTGATAACAAATAAAATGAAACGGTTCTTTTAATAATTATTAGTAAATGCAATTTTAATTAGTAAATTTGTTTTTTTTAATTAGTAAATAGTGGCCCATTTGTTTGCGTAATTAATAAATAAAATAAATATTAATATTAATCAAATATAATAATTATAACAAACCTGCACATACTTAGTCATCATTAGTTTAATAATTAAATAATAATCATGTCATTAAAGCCCTTTTCAAATATTCTGCATTAATTAAGAAAAATAATTTTGGAATCCTTAGTAGGCATCAAGCTAGGTTATTCGTAATTATTAATCAATGTAATTTTGGCTTTTGGTAAATAGTGATTAATGTCATAATTATGTTGTAATTTTAATTAGTGACCTGATTAATAGTAATCATATTGAAATTTACAATGCTTTAAAAACCATGTTAGAAAACTAAGTTGTTAATATTGAAAATTATAAACATTAATCTGAAATAGTAATTTAGATTGAATATATTTATAATAATTATAATTATTAATTATTGAAATCGTAATAATTGTTTTAATAATTATATAATTGCAGATCATGTTAATGAATAAAACCTAAGAAAAAACATATTAAGTTGATTTAATAACTATTAAAAAAGTAAATAAATAGCCATTACCATTTAGTGAATTAGTTAAATATTATTCATGCTATTAAATCCTTTATACAAAAATTTATTAACATTACAATGTTGCAAAAAAAGCTTTAGGGTAATTTAATTAATGTAATTGGCATGATTTAATAGTAATTCATGTTTTTATTGGTATTAATAAAATTTGTCTTAGCAATGGCATAGTGACCTGTGTGTAAAAATAAGATAGTATCAATGAAAATTTGTAAAACGTAAATTTAATTACTGTATATTTGCCAAGATTAATTAAATCGACATAAAACTTTATAGTAAAGTAATAAATACTCTTGTAATTATTTAGTATATGTTGTTGTTATTACAATTGCAGTCATATTTTATTAAATAGTAATTGCAATAGTACCTTAATTATGTAGTCCCTATAATAATTGATAAATTTTACAAATTGTTGTTAGTTAAATGGCTAGTGATGGACCTCGCATTGACCCCGGTCCGAAAGAGTGGGGTGTACTAGATGAAGATGTGCAACAATGTCATAGATCCCAGGTGGTGTGGAACGAAGGACATTTAAAGTCTCTGAGAGTGAGACGAGCTTCAGAGGGTAGGGGAAACAGAGATGTACACGACCCAGATGACATCCCCCAGGACCTGCAGCAGCATTTGTTGCGTACAGATATAGAGCATATTTGTAATTAGTAATAATATCCACCTTCACATGATTAACACATAAATTGTCGCAGTACGAAAACTTCAACAATGTATATAGTACCTAGAATGGCCTCAGATATAAATTGTGAATCAAGTTGTTTGTTATCTTGCGAAAGGGTTGTGTTGACACAAAAATGTTTTCCACCCCATTTAGTGACTACCCAGCTGTTGCTATTCTTCGGTTTAATTGCCCTTACTCGCCAATTGCAGCCTTCTTCATGCTTACGACATTTCATAGACAACTTCGTGGTAGTACTCTCAACCACTACAGCTTCTTGATGCTCATTCATGCAGTAATGTTTTATAGCGGCTTGCACATCGCTCTTCAACCGGAACTCTTGTTTCACATACATTTCGTCTCCTCTTGTCCACGGACCACGACCTAAGCCTTCAACATCCAGTATGTCTTCGTTCGGATAATCCAAATTAACAGCCTTATAGTGTGGGATCTCATCCCAAAATGGTGTCACATCTACAAAAAAATAAAAAATACGATTTGGCAAATATTAAAGCGATTAAAAAAAATTTAATCATTCAACACGTTCAATGGCTAACCTGATGTTGGTGGAATAACCGCATTATTGGACGCAGGGATAACTGTCTCCTGTGTTATGGGATTATCATGATGTTCATCATCACCTCCATCACTATCATTCTGATCATGGTCATTTGCCAATAGAGTGTCTTCATCTTCCTCCTCCTCTTCATTGTCAGGTTCAACATCTACCATATAGTCGCTTTCATCTCCATGCGCAATAGTTGATTGTGTGGGCTGGGGTACCGATGATGACGACATTTGTGTCTGACTGTTAAGGTCCAACCCACGTGTCGGTGTTGACATTTCGTCTGATGTCTCAATATCCACGTATAACTCAACAAATTGAGACGTAGTAGAGTTTTGGACAAATGTTCCAAGAAAAATATCAATGTCCTCATCATCAGTTAGATCAAAACCTGCATATTTGCGATTTCCACATGGGACTCGACCCGTTATTGAAGAAATTACCTGATTTTGTTGCAACTTCAACTTCTGATGAATCTTCTGAAGTAGATCTTCAATGGACAAGCCTCGCACAATATACATTGCTCTTTTTTCCCCTTCGAATCTCAACCCGCCTACACCGTTAATTTTAGAACCATTATAATATACAAAAGACCGATATTGTTCCATTGTAATAATACAGGGGTATATGCAAATAACACAAAAAGATCAGATGCAAGTGGAGATTAAAAAAAGTAAATAAACAACATTTGAATCCGCATTACAGCAAGTGATACAAAACCTTTTGGAAATTACACACACAGCAAGTGACACAAAACCTTTTGGAAATTAATTACACACAGCAAGTGATACAAACAAATTACTACAAGTAAAGAAACCGTCCGTCAAAATCATTTACAAAAATAGCAAACATAACCCAAATTCAAAATTTTCAATACTAGCAAACACCGGAAGACCCTATATATAACCAGACAGGTATCACCGTAAGTATCAGTGGCGAGATTGAGTACCGGACGCTACCCCACAATTATTTTGTTGAGTACGGGACGTTACCCCACGAGTATGGCGAAGGGTGGCTGGAACGCGTCACAAGAACTGCGGATGTGTCACACACGTGGCTTAGTCTCGCCAACTGACATGGCGGGACTGGTACATGTCACAGCAGGTGGCGGGATACGTGGAAAACACGTGACATGGACTGACGCGATTGGTTGGGCTTCCTACGTGGCTTCTGATCTCGTCTTTCTCACTGGCGGGACTTATCTCGTCAGTCAAACCTACGTATTTGACTGCTCTAGTATGGCCATTCTTTTCAAATGTGTTTTAGGATGGAGATACATTTCAAAAATAACATTAGTACGGATTTTTTGCCCTATTATGTAAAGAGAACTATAAGGCGAAGTTCTCAAAGAGCTTGACAGCTGCTGTAGCTGTAGCACATACTGCTACTGAAATTATCTCCCTTGCTGAATCAAAACTGGATGAATGGCAAGAAAGAGGAATGCTTACTTCTTTCATAAACATTTTCTCGCAAACTCTTCATTTTGTTATTTGTTTAAGGAATAGAAATTATTGAAACAAAAAAGAAAGAAAGAAATTATTGAAACATAAACAATGCTCACACAAATAAAACAATGGATTGATAAATGCATAAAAAATTGTATTTTTTTATGAGTTGGTAACTTTGTATATAAAGATTTGTGAAAGTAAGAACGACTCTTTCCATATGCATTATGATTTTAGCATATGATGGTCAATGAATTCAAGGATAGATGATAAAAATGTAAAACATGAGCCTAAGTAGTGGTAAAGCCTTTCCTTAGTGATAAGAATGTAAAACATGAGCCTAGAGTAGTGGTAAAACAATATATTTCATTCAAAACATTCAAGGTGCCGTAAAATAAGAAAATGGAAATGAATTAGGCACTCACTGTGAACAATGACATCATAAGAGACCAATGTACAGTCTTTGGGGTGGGAGTGCACAAGGCCTTATAAACTCCACATTAGTTGCACATACAACCAATGTGAGACTATATATCTCAACACGCCCCCTCACACGAGAGCCCATTGGACTTGAAGAGTGGACAATGCAACAGGCCCAGCCTACCTGTGCTAAGAAACGCCACAAGAGAAAGTGGGGATACCTGTGCTAAGAAACGCCACAAGAGAAGGTGGGGGCGGCGAGGCTCTGATACCATGTAAAGAACCTTGGGATACACCACCCCAAAAGCTAGCTCAAAGGGTGGGAGTGCCCAAGGTCTTATAAAGGCCACAGTAGTTGCTCATATAACCAATGTGGGAGTATATATCTCAACACGCCCCCTCACACGAGAGCCCTTTGGGATGGCTTCACTCACCTATCAGTATTCATTGCCCAAAGACACCTTAATCCATCCTATAGATAAGGGGTGGTGGCTTCACTCACCTATCAGTATTCAGTGCTCAAAGACACCTTAATCGAGCCTATAGATAAGCTTTTCTGTGGCCTCAACTCTTAATGAAAGCACCAATTGTTACGGACCTTGAGATCACCACCCCAAAAGCTAGCTCAAAGGGTGGGAGTGTCCAAGGCCTTATAAACCCCACATTAGTTGTATAATGTGGGACTTGTAACAACTAGCTACTTGTGATAATATGTAATTTGACAACTTTCAAAAACTAAATACATAGTGATGTACATTTTTAAGTATAAAGTCCTTACTTACCATCAAAACTGTTAAAAACAATATATTAAAGTACTTACCAATACAAAACAAGTTCTCCTTATTGTATAACATTATCGGATGATAGTCGCGTACTTTGACTTTTAGAGATTTAATATGGAGAGTAAGCTTTTCAAATTTAATCTTTGTCTTAATAAAATGTTGGTGATAGTTGATATTTTTGTGGTTCACAAGATGTATGGTGTCATTGGGAGTGTTTTTATGGCACACAAATATGCATAACACACCCACAGAGAGAGCGAGAGATTTATAGTAGAGAACTTTAAGAACATAATGTTTAACAAGCCTTCATTTTTATTATTTGAATCTCTTCAGATATACAATCATGTTATTTGACTTTAAAAATTAGGTATCATTGCGAACTCCCCGTCCACGAACAAATCCCACATTTTCTTCGGTTAATATACAAGTCTCTTCCATCAGCCTGCAATGAATCGAAGGACACAAATTCAATATATTAACTAACCGATTGAATTGAAATTAATCGAATATTTAAATTCATATATTATATATGTATAAGTATGTATGACTGACGAGTTTTTCATCGTCTTGTTTAGGACGGTGGATGCTGCAATGACAAGCCCATCGAGATAGCGTAATTCACCATTTATTCTTTCACCAATCCTAATATCGAGTTGCTCAGAGTCAAGTATGATTGGTTCGTTCGAAGCCTGAAAATTTTAATGCACAACCAAATATTACACCCATTAGCTTGCTAACAATTGTTGGCAACAAAAATGACATTAACTTACAAACAGTCATAGGACACTTCATATTCAAAATGAAATTAATCTTGCAATGCATTTAAATGTTGTATATTGAAAGGAGCTTCTGTTACATAAAAATTGTTGTTTTCTCTATTTTAAATATTAGTTTTTAAACTCACCAAAATCCATCCACATGAATCTCCATAGGATGGTACCTGAGTTGTGTATGCAACCAGATCTGCATAAATTATCCAAAACAAAAGAGAAATAAAAAAGATATTCATTAATGAATCAATTATCAAAACCACACATTGGAGAGCAATATGAGATGGCTAAGGTTTGATGAAAAATGGTGCTTACGAGTGAAAACTTGCTTTAGGGTGTTGTATATTGGTGAGAACACAGCCTTGTGTGTTAAAATCCCAGCTGGGCCAGCCTGTATATATATAAAGGAACCTATTTTAACTAGTTCTAATAAAGTGAGTAGCCAAAATAAATTTTTAAGATACTATTGCTAGTCACTGATTCTTTGAAGTTTCCAAATTAGAAAAAGAACATGAAAAAGAAAATGAAAAGGCTTACTTGAGTAACGAAGAGACCGTTCTCCTTGAGCTTAGGTTTGGCAACATCCTCATAAAAGGATCTTGTGTAGAGATTGTTGGAAGGCCCGGATTCTTTCGGGTCTGAAAGATCTCCTAAGATGATGTCGAACTTCTCCTCGGAATTTTCTAGCTCGGCCCTGTATGAGATAAATGTGTAGCTTTTGTAAAGGCAAATCATAATAACAACTTTCTAGCCAGTTATAAACTTATAATAAATCCCTCTATGTTACTTTAGTTCATATACAAATGACCAGTTAGAAGAAAAATGTAATAAATGTCCAGATCTCATGAATTGTGTCAGCAAATTTAAGAACTTGTAATTCTAGTTAATATAAGAACTTGGGAGCGGTTGTTTATTTCATTAAGGAAGGAAATTTTTTGAGAATTAAAAGTATCTTTGGTTGTGTAATCGAAATGATTGAAAATTTAAAAAAGAAATCATGAAAGGTTTGAAAGATCAAAGAATTAAATACTCACATTGCTTCATTGTAAACAATTTGAAGCCTTTCATCATTGAAGGCCTCATGATTTGCTGTGATATGTTGGCGGTACACATTAACAATCTCCTGTAGTTAAGTATATTGAACTCAGATTAACAATGGCAGATATATTTTTATTAAAATTTATATAACCAGCAAACATAGGTATGTGATCTCAGGAACTCCCATGAATTAACAACTTACCCTATCAATATCGCATATTATCACTTTCTCAATATTTCTGTGTTTTAGAACTTCTCTGGCAGCAGACCCTCCACCACCTCCCATAATGAACACACTTTTGGGTCTGTTCTTGGCATTGAATACTTGGTTATAAAATGTAAATATTTATCAAAAGTATAAAAACCATTAAAAGATGAATAGAAATATATACATACTCATTGTGCACTAGGAGTGCAGGATGAACCAAGCTCTCATGATAAATATAATCATCAAACTCAGTGCATTGCAAGTGCCCATCAATCACAAGAGCCTATATATAATAGACAAAACAAATAAGTACGTAGTTTATTTATTTTTAAGATAGACAACAATTCATGTAAGATAAACTAGATTCTGATTATCATTCAGGCAATCAAGGGTATATAGATAGCAACCCCGAATGACAAACCTTAATTATGAGAGTAACAAAAATAATTGAATAGAAAAAATATCTTCCTAAAATAGCTGAAGTTAATAGCAAGTGATAAATAATTGTGACAGTTCATGGACATGAAAGATACACCATGTCATAAAATCCAAGCAGAAAACATATATACCTTTCCAAACCTCCTTGTTGCAAGGACTTTTAGATTTTGTATACCACTTGACCCTTGAAACTCCACCCTGAAACCAAATTCATGATATGATCAAATAAAACTTGGATTTAAAAGAAATGAAAGAGTTGTATTTGTATATACCTGTTCAAAGCCAAGCACCATTTGACATCCGAATCAATTTCTTCTTCGAACCAATCACGGTCATCATTGACCGCAGCAGCTATTTGGATATTCTGGTCACCTTCATCACCTTCATCACCTTCACCTCCATCTTGGTCTTGCCCATGACCGTTAGTTTCTATGTAATTCTCTATAACTTGAGGCTGAAAAAGCTGCGCGTGACCATTCCCATTATTTAGTAATGCTGGGAGCATGAGAACCATGAATACTGCTCCCAGGAATGACCTCATTATGCTTACAGCCATGCTCTCTTTTTTCACTCTTTCTATTCCAACAACGATAAATGTTTTTCTTCTTGCTAGCGTGAGTCTGAAGGTCACTTCCTGCGTTTCTATTTATGCACAAAATTGGCCATGACAGATCAGATTTGTTCTTAAAGTGAGCAAATTAGATAAGAACAACATTGCAATTGTAGGCGTTAGTAAGTGATAGAATAAAAAAAAATATTTCAACATGTTCTAGGCTCATCACGTCAATGTTGTATTAATATTCGTCAGAAAAGAAATAATATTCTGCAGAAAAGAAATAAATGTTTTGGGTTGAATCCATTGTCAATATTGTATTAAATATTAATATTCTACAGGAAAGAAATAAATGTATGCGTTTCCTTAACAATTAATTTAATTATTTTTTAATAATATTTTTACAGAAAAAGAAATAAATGTATTCGTTTCCTTAACAATGGGTTTATTTATTTTTTAATAATATTCTATAGAAAAGAAATAAATGTTCTAGGTGTGAATTCAGTGTCAATGTTGTATTAATATTCCATAGGAAAGAAATAAATGCATACGTTTCATTGACAATTGATTTAATTATTTTTAATAATATATTATAGAAAAAGAAATAAATGTATTCGTTTCATTAACAATGGGTTTGTTTATTTTTTAATAATACTCTACAGAAAAGAAATAAATGTACTTGTTTCATTAATAATTGGTTTATTTATTCTTTTAATAATATTCTACAGAAATGAAATAATAAATGTTTTGGGTTTGAATCCAATGTCATCAATGTTGTATTAATATTCCATAGGAAAGTAATAAATGTGTATGTTTCATTAACAATTGGTTTAATTACTTTTTAATAATATTTTACAAAAAAATAAATGTATTCATTTCATCAACTATGAGTTTATTTATTTTTTAAAAATATTCTGCAGAAAGGAAATAAATGTTTTGGGTCTGAATTTAGTGTCATTGTTTTATGGGAAAAAGTATCTAATGTTACTTTAGATAACTTTGTCTAATGTTCATCGAAACGACGTCGTTTTGGGGTTGAAAAATTACAAAAATTAGAATGATAACGACTATTATAACCCTGAAATCAATTAAATTACAAAAATATCATGATTTCCACCCAAAATGACGTTGTTTCGATGAACATTAGATAAAAAAATTTAAAGTAACTTTAGAAAAAACAAACCTTTCTTTTATTAATATTTCATAGAAAAGAAATAAATGTATAAGTTTCATTGACAATTGGTTTAATTATTTTTAATAATATTTTAAATAAAAATAAATAAATGTGTTTTTTTCATTAACAATGGGTTTGTTTATCTTATAATAATATTCTATTGAAAAGAAATAAATGTTTTGGGTTTGAATCCAATGTCATTAATATTTTTTTAATATTTTACCAAAAAAATATTGTTTTAATATTTCATAGGAAAGTAATAAATGTACACGTTTCATAAACAATTAGTTTAATTATTTTCGATAATATTTTACAAGAAAAGAAATACATGCATGTATTCGTTTCTTTAAGAATGGGTTTATTTATTTTTTGATAATATTGTACAGAAAAGAAATAAAATTTTTGGGTTTGAATTCAGTGTCAATGTTTTATTAATATTCCATAAAAAAGAAATGAATGCATATGTTCCATTGATTATTGGTTTAATTATTATTTAATAATATTTTACAAAAAAAAAAAAAGAAGTAAATATATTTGTTTCATTAATAGTGGATTTTTTTTAATAATATGCCATAGAAAAGAAATAAATATTTTGGGTTTAAATCTAGTGTAGTCGATATTCCTTAGGAAAGTAATAAATGTATATGTTTCATTAACAATTGGTTTAATTATTATTTAATAATATTTTACAGAAAAATAAATAAGTGTATTCGTTTAATTAACAATAATTTTTTAATTTTTTATAATATATATTCTAAGAAAATAAATGTATGTACGTGTTTCTCTTAATTTTAAATTAAATTCCATTCAATGCTCTTGAAATCATTAAATTATTTAATAGTATTAGAATAGGGGCTTGCTTTTCTTCTGCTTTTTTAAATATATTCTAAGGGAAAAGTTTTACTTACTGCAGACATATTATTTAAGGGATATATTTTTTTATGTTATAGGAAAAAAGTTATCTCATATTGTAGAAATAAAAGTATAAGTGGGACCCACAGATAAAAGGAGAGAAAAAAAGAGTGGTGGGACCCAATCTCTTTTTGTGTATGCAGGAAGATTATTTATCTCATATAAAATGAGATAAACATAACTCATTATTTAAATACTCTTGAAAATAGGATCCCGTTCATCAAACTACTTCCGCCTTTTTTTCTCTCATAGAAATTAAATTTGTGTATATAATTTGACATCCTCTAACTTCGCAATATTGCTTATTATGAATATGTTCTATAATGTGTATTTTGTTGTAAAATAAATATATATAATTATCAGAAAAATATGAAGATAAGAGAGACAGTGGAATATATTCTTGTTGTATTATCCTATCATTAATTTGATGCTTTGTACATGCTTTTATTTATAGGGTCATAAGACAATAACGATTACAATATAATAAATGACCACAATTACTTCTTCAATAGTTACAGAACATTCAATGGTCATGGACAACCCAGAGTCTTATTATTTATAACACTCCTCCTTGAATGTCTAATGATTCTATTGAAAAAAATATGTATTCCACACCAAAAAAGAAAAGAAAAGCAATATGTATTACAGGCTGCCTCATTAAAAACTTTATTAGGAAACCCAATGAGACAAAACCATGGTGGAAAAAAAAAAAGAGTGCAACACGTATTTCACTCCCCGTGATGATAACATTATTTAATATCTCTGAGTTTATGCATATCGATCTTATATACAGCTTCTCAAAACTTGAAGTAGGTAATGTCTTGGTAAATAAATCTGTCAAATTATCACTTGAACGAATTTGTTAAACGCCATTGTTCTGCCTGAGGCAGATGTGCCCAATGAAGATTGGGTGATTGATTTAGGATTTGAGTGCTTCTCTCTAGATACCTATGAATTAGGTACCTTGGGGATAGCAAATCACTGCACACAATATGATGGCCTTAGCCTTGAGGGGTGTGTGTGTGATTGTCGTGATTACATAAAGTAGAGTAAAAAAGATCTATCCATACCTGTAGCCTTTAGCTCCTATTTATAGTGCTTACCTGTGGGCTTGTGCTGACTATGGGCCTTACTCTGGTCCATAACAGTTGCCCCCCAGCCCGGTAGACTGAGCTTTCAGGATCCCGGGATGATATGCCGAGTTTCTCCCAACGGAATGTGCCAGACAGCAGCTATTTAGCTCGAGTCCACGGCCTGGCTAAGCACCTCAGATATACAATTTGACCTGCCCTTTTGTAGCTAAACTATCATCAAGCTGCAAGTGTTTGTTTCTTCCAATCCGGCGTATCCTGCTGACCTGTAACCGTAATCTCTTTTTTTTACACCCCGGCTTGTGGAACCGGGCTGCTATTTCAGTACTGCTGAGGTTTTGAAGGACTGCAAAAGATGCCTTGATCTCTAGACGATTCTCTTTCTAACACAGTGAATCTCTTTTGCAGATGATCATGACGGCCCTCAACATGGCCTTCCTATACCCAAACGACGTGTACCACTATGCTTGTTCGTGCCGCTGGCATTTATTGCAACTGTCAGGGCGTCCTTTCAACTGTCTCATCTGGTGAAGTTACCCCTTTACCCCTGACCTTTGGTTTCGCGGGATTCACTTATTTGATTTCTATTTCTCATTCATTTTTCACTTATGCCATTTACACTTTGCTGTATTACGTTCCCAGAGTTTCTTCGGTTTGTGTATTTCCCAGAAGCATTTGCACCACTTCCTCCCTTTTTTTCGCTGTGCCAGGTACATGCTTCAATCCACTTTTATGTTTCTTCCTTGCTTGTTCTTCTTCCTTACTCGAGTTTATGCTTAGTTGCTTATATTTTCTGTTTCTGGGTATTTCTATTTTGGTCATGCACACTTAGGCATATAATCATTCTGTACTGCAATTCTGATATAACCCCCGCTTGTTGGAATATTTGTTTGTTAATGCCATGCTCTCTCTTGGGTATTTGATTGTGACTTGCATGCTGCCATTTTATTGCCCTGGCCCCACTGTTTATGCCTTGTTCTTCCCTCAATAGCATGAACGGGGGGAATTTGAATGGTCGAGGGAGGTCTACATGCCCTCGGGTTTTTGGTCATAGTGATGAAATCCTTACTGAAGAGGAGGAACGGGCTGCACGGGAAGAGGAAAGGTATATCCAGAGCCTTCCTCCTGGCGCGAGGTATTGGTTATATGGTAGACCTCGGACCCAGGAGGAGACGCAAGCCGCCTTGCTTAGGGGTTATCGCGGGGGTAGAAGTGGGGGAGGTTCTTCGTCTCGTCCTCCCATTCGAGGACGCTGCCAACGTTCTGGCCGCATTCCGGGTGTTTCATCCCAACGTTCCAGCCAAAATTTAGGTAGAAGCTCAGATCTGTCCCATTCAGTCAATACCCCGGCTCATAACCTTACCCGAGTTCAAGTTTTGCCTCTGGTCGAAACCGTAAACCAAGATGCTAGGAACTCGGATCCATGTTTCAACTGTGTTTACCTTAGCACCCAATTCATTGAGAGGGGGAGCGATTTTATGGCCGACTTGGTATTAGGAAGTTGCACCCACTACCCCGGCACATTTAACCCTGCTTCTTTTAATGATTCATCCAGCTCTTCTCTTGATAGTTTATTCAGCTCAGGTACGTACACTCTTTGTTACGTACTGTTTCTGCTTTTAATGCTCCCCTTTTGTTGTTCTAGGTTCTTATGGAGTCCTCTTCTGCAGAGTTTAACACTGAGGTGACCTCGTCAAACCAAGGCCAGGGATCCGACGTCGGCCCCGCTGAGCAAGGCTTTACTCCCGCTAGTACGACTCTTCGCAATCAATTTCCCTTGGTGACTGAGGAAGTGCTTAGCTTCCGGTCAGAAATGACAACTGAGG